AGCATTTCCTGATAAAATAAATATTATTTCAAACATTAGTTTATCAAGATTCACCATTGCAAGGAGAATTGAAGACTTGTCCGAGAACATAGCAACAACGCTTCGTGAACGCATTGCAAAATTCGAATACTGTTCTTTGGCACTTGATGAGAGTTGCGATATTAGCGATACAGCACAACTGGCTATATTTTTACGTGGTATTGACACCAAATTTAATATTACCGAAGAATTGTGTTCACTGATTCCAATGCAAGGGACTACAACCGGCAAAGACCTGTACGATGAACTAAAGTCTGTGTTGGAAAATTTTTCAATTTCATTAGAAAAGATTATTGGTATATCGACAGATGGAGCACGAGCAATGTCAAGCATGGAGGTAGGAGTATCGGGAAGGCTATTTCAAGACATTAAGAAGGTCACAGGAAGGGAAATATTCGTTAACCACTGCATAATTCACCAGGAAAATTTGTGTGCGAAAAGATTGAGTTTGCCAAATGTCACAGTACCAATAATTAAACTAATCAATTTTATAAAGTCGCGCGCGTTAAATCACCGTGAATTTAAAGAATTCCTGAAAGATTTAGAAACTGAATATGGCGACGTGGTTTTTAATACCGAAGTACGTTGGCTTAGTAGAGGTGCAATGCTAAAAAGAGTATACAACTTAAAAAGCGAAATACAATTGTTCTTGGATATGAAGGGATATGCCTTTCCTCATTTTGGTAATAAAGAATGGATGTGCGATTTTGGGTTTCTTATCGACATGACTCAGCATCTCAATGATCTTAATGTGGAACTTCAAGGCAAAGGACAGTTTATTCACAATTTGTATGATAAAATTCAGGGCTTTGAGCGCAAATTAAAATTGTGGAAACAGCATCTTTTGCAGAATAATGTGTCTCACTTTCCACATTTAGAAAAAGAAAACGTTACTACTTCTCAAAAATACGCACAATATATAGACATTTTAATCAACGAATTTCAATTACGATTCCAAATGTTCAAAGCTGAGAAGACAGCGGTTTCCATGAAAATGTTTTCCTCGCCATTTAATATCGATGTGGATACAGTTCCCGAAGACTTTCAAATGGAAGTGATTGACATGCAGAATAATACCGATTTAAAAAATGTATTTTTCTCAGTAAACATCGAAAATTTTTATAAATCTTATGTGAGCCCTGAGAAATTTCCGCTTTTGACGAAAAATGCAAAGCAAATGATGTCTCTGTTCGGAAGTACGTATGTTTGCGAACAATTATTTTCAACCATGAAATTAATCAAAAATGACCACCGATCAAGACTGAGTGATGCACGATTAGAAAGCTGCGTACGTGTAGCTACCTCATCAATTCCGGCTGATATTGATCAGCTTGTATCGAAAAAACAGTGCCAAATTTCTCATTAAAAATTTCAAGTAAATTCGTTTTTCTGTTCTTTTCTTGTTTGTTTTTATTTTGCATTAAAATTTGTATATGAAATCTTTACTTTTTTTAAATTTTATATTTTTTTATTCTAATGTTTATTATAAATAAAGTTTTGTAAATTATTAATAAGTGTTACTTTATGTGCGGCCCGCCAAAAAATTTTAAAATTTAAATTGGCCCGTTGATTAAAAAGGTTGCTCACCCCTGTTCTAGATGAAAGACTACAACTGATTGTATGAGTGATGGCTTATGTGCTAATGGAAGACAACTTCTCAATATGTGCCAAAATGTCAGCCATAAAAATGATTTTTATTGTATTTACTAATTCTTGAACTCAGATAAATATTGGATTCAAAGGACATAACATTTCAGTTTTTTCGTCAAAAAACCTCTTTTAAGTGGTTATAAAAGTGAATTATTTACTAATTATGGATGGCATGTGTCGTGTTTTTTACCTACAATAGATATATTGCAATGACTCTCTGTATACAAAAGAAATGTTAAGGTCATAGCTACAACCAGTTTAGGTTGTAGCTATGACCTTAACATTTCTTTTGTATACAGAGATTTTGCAAAAATTCTTTCGCATACATCTTACCTGCATCAATCCTGTTTTTCATAAATGCATATCAATTGCTTGGGAAGTTGAGTAATTTGGTAAATGCCTCCTAGAGAAATATTCTAATGTAAATTCTTTACACTGTTCTTCCATAAACCAAATGCATGCTGGCTAGCTCCATTGTAAAATCTGACCTACATTTGTGTCATCAATTAACTAATGGCTTTATTTCCTTTTAGCATCCGAGACATTGGCAGAAACTGTTCTTTATTAGTAAAAGTTGACCCCTTTGACCCCATTAATCCCCTAGAAGTTGAGTTTAGAAAACACTGTATACAAATTATTGAATTTTCATGTTAAAAAATAACAACAAAAAAAACACACCTTTAAAAATCCAGCAATGAAATTTACTAAATAATAATGTTTTCAATCAGTTTACCTGATCTTCAGATACAATAAAATAGAATGTGAATACAAAAATTTTAAAATAAACAATAACAAGAATTCTTAAATAAATAAATAACAGAAATCGTAGTTGAGATTAATAAATAAATACCTACAGAAATAAAATAAACAATAAAAAGTAAAAATAGACAAATAAAATTAACTTTCATAAAAGAACCGCCAGGTGGTAGACAAGCTATCTGCATCTGTATGGTTGATGCAACTGGATTTTTTGTGCGCTTTAAAAATTTCCAATTTTTCCAGATATCTTCATAGATAGCGGTCGAATTATGGCTATATGGTTTCTTATCATTCTTTAAAATTCTGAATATTGTTGGGTTGCATCGATACACAACCTCAACATTATTAGCTCTGGCTGCTTTCTTATGTATCCTTCTTAAAGATGGTATATAATTTAAAACCACTTTTCATTTCTGGTCTACAGACGTATGCTGACGTTTTGATATTTGAAAGGTTGTGATCAACTTCTGAATCATTTCTATCAGATAACCCTGTTCTGTGATCTTTTAGATGTAATTCAGTCCCATATGCTGGTACAATGTGTATATGCCCTTCTTATCAAGGATCTAAAGGCTGCGAATTTGATGTGCAGAGGTTCAACAGAGTTATGTGGAATTAAAATAGTTTGAAATTAATTATATAACCTTAAAAAATAATACTTGGATTTTTTTAAAATTATATAATTATCTGTACAATACATTAATAATATATCAGGATTTTAGTAATTTATAAATAAACTAGCANATTTGCTAGAGTAATAAAATATATTTTCAGTACTACTCCATTAAATCTTGATTCTTTCCATAAATAATTTATTCAGCAGTAATAATTTATTTATTGATGTGCAGAGGTTCAACAGAGTTATGTGGAATTAAAATAGTTTGAAATTAATTATATAACCTTAAAAAATAATACTTGGATTTTTTTAAAATTATATAATTATCTGTACAATACATTAATAATATATCAGGATTTTAGTAATTTATAAATAAACTAGCAGATATCTCTGGCATTACCCAAGCAAAAAGTAATTACGGACAAACATTAAAACCATAATAAAAATTTGTTTTTTTTCCCTCTCAAAAATACTAGATATCTTCCTTTGGAGTATAGAGATCAGACACACATTCAAAAATATATGTAGAGATCAGTAGTTCTCAAAGCTATATAGTCCACAGACCACTTAAGATGAGTCATGAATGAACCAATAATCACTATGCTCCTGTCCACTTTATATCCTGTAAAAATCACCTTAGATACGAGGGCAGGCTGAAAAATAATACAGACATGCTTGTAGAGCACAAACAAAATCATTTTCAGAAGCGTGCCAGGTGGCATATGGAAGTAACATTCCCCCTCTATGTGCATGCGCAGTTTGAGGTTGTTGTGTTCATTCAGTATATTTTGAGAAGTGGAAATATGGAGACATGTTTTGATGCTATGTCAATGCGAGTTAAACAGTGTGCTGTTATCGAATTTTTAACTGCTGAAAAAATTACATTTAAAGGCTGTTTATGGTGATGATGCTGTTGATAGGTCTATTGTAAATTGATAGATAATAAAATTTTGTGGTTGCGAGCCTGGAAAAGCCATAATTGTTGATGAAACACGCAGCAGAAGTCCGATCACTGCCATTGCATCTTGTTGCAATGTTTAATTCTTCTCAGTACATACAGACTCTAAAACACCTCTGACGTTGAGTTTGACATGTTAGAGGCAATAATCTTCCAACATGACAACGCTCATCCACACACCTTGCACGCAACTGGAGAGGCTCTGCAAAACCTGAAGTTTGAACCGATTCCACACCCTCCTTATTCCCCCGATCTTGTGCCTTGTGATTTTTATTTGTTTCCTCTACTTAAGAGAGACCTCAAGGATAATCATTACACCTCAGACGATGAGGTAAAAGAAGCTATCAAGTCCTGGATTCGAGAAAAGTCGGAAGAATTTTTCAGTGACAGAATGAAAAAACTTGTTACACATTGGGAGAAATGTGTTAGTCATCATTAAGGCTATGTTGAAAAATAAATATATGATTTTGAAGCTTAAGAATTGTACTTAATGTACTTTTTGCCCGATCTTGCTATTTGTTTTTGTTCGTGTTCTACAAGCATGTGTGCATTACTTTTCAGCCTGCCCTCGTACATGCCAAAATAGTTTATCTATTCAGTAATTTAACAAGAGATAAGCAAAATATAAAATAGAGTATATAAAAATATTCTTTCAGTTGGATAAACAACATATACTGTAATTGCAATTTAGAAAAATCATTAGGTCAGTTTGTAGACAACCTGGCATAAGCTCATGGATGACCAGCAGTCCACAAACCATGCTTTGAGAACCACTGGCATGGATGATGATTAATTCTTTATTACATGTTCATTCACATGTAGCTATTGATATTAATTTTAATTAAGCTATATAATATTTTGAGGAATAACATTTGATAAATTATTTAATTATTATAAATGAATAGATATAAAAATATTGATTCTAAAGATAAAAGCAGAAATAAATTATTATTAAATAATAATAAAACTTCTCTTCACTTTCTCAGCTTTTTTCCATCCGCCATCGATGTAAACATAGGAAGAGAAAGGTCGAAATTTTGATTTATATTCTGTTTTCTTGATTCTCTTCCTGAAACAAATTTAATTGTAATAATTATTTTTATTAAAATATATTTTAAAACAATTATAATTGTCACAAATAATTGTACAACTGTTTATTTTGCTGTAGATAAATATATTTAATACAGTATTACATAATGGTGCTGAATATCTAAATATATCTTTTTCTAGATGTTATGAACAAAAATTATAATTATACTTGTAATCCAATAGTCCTTTTCATACAATAATTTAACTTCATTCAGAACTGATTTATTTTTAGAAAGTATTATTTTGAATTTATCACATTCATAACAATCTTTGCTTTTGAATCTTTCCACACAAACATAATTTTCAATATGTTAAGTATCAGAATTTTAAAAGGTTTTTTTTGTTTTTGTTTTATAATTGTTTCTCAGACATGAAACAGTTATTTTTATTAACTAAAATTTTGTGTATTGAATTATTTCAATACATAATGCCTGAAGATGGTTCAGGTTAACGTTATAATTTGCTAGAGTAATAAAATATATTTTCAGTACTACTCCATTAAATCTTGATTCTTTCCATAAATAATTTATTCAGCAGTAATAATTTATTTATTATTTATTGGTTGTAACAAAATAATTTAAAGTATTGAAATTACTGACGAAATATGAGTGAAAATACTGAATTACAATTCTTGGGTAATCCTGATAATTTTAAAAAACTTTAGAGAAACATTTTCAATAATTTTCAGTACTGAATGAATTCCATAAAAATTCATCTGAAATAAATTAATAATTTTATATTATATAAATTTGAATTTTTCATAAGTTTATATAATAAACTTAATTTTTTGTATATTTTACTATTGTCTTATATATAATAAATTAAGACAGAAGTGCAACACAGATTCTAAAGCAATACTCCCTAAATGTTGTCACTCCACACCATCCATGCTAGAAGGGAGCTGGCAGATGGTATGAAAAGATTTAGGGAGTGTTGTGTTAGAATTAGAGTTGCACTTATATCACAATGATTTTGATAACATTGAAAATATGGGGCTTGCAAGTACTAGGTATTTCACAAGTATTTCAAGGCAAGTATTTCAGTGATTTATTTTTTGTTTTTGATCTTCAAGAAAGCAAAGATATATATATATATTTCCCTATATAGGGCTTCAGGATGTTTGATATACAATACTTATATTATGTTAATTGATTGAGAATAACAATACTCTCAAACACAAGGAAAAGCCTTCTGCCATTCATCAAAATGTCTTTCAATATCAAAGAAACCCTTCTTTTTTGTTTTGCTCTTTGATATTAAAGGATGTTTACATATATCAATACCTTGTATCATATGCAAAAAATCAGTATCCAGACTACATTATAATTAATTTGTGGGAAAACATATAAATCTGCCAATTAGATTCAAAACCAATATTGTCTACATCAAGTCAGCAAACTCTTTGCAAATTGATGAGAAATGGACAAACTATTGATTTCTTAGAATAGAATTTTTTTCTCATGAAGCCTGAAAATAGCTCTCCTAGAAATCATTGTACTGTACAGTACATATGGTAGAAGCAAACTCAGGAGAGAGCTGTCTATGTATTTTGCTATGCCATTTCATTCTTAAGATCAGATAATGATCTTATTAATATATTGAGACTCAGCTATGTTCCAGATTATTTTTCTTGATTATATCCATGCTCTAGAAAAAACATAAATAATCATTTGAGAGTTATGATTCTAGCCACTTTAATTTGTCAGCGACTAATATCAAATCTTCCATTGATTCCTAGTGCTATTCTGCATAATGGCATGATTTCATGATGCTAAATTAGAAATTATACTTATTTACATACATTTTTTAAAAAGCTCAAAAGTTCAGTAGTCAAATGAAATATGCAAATAAAGCAAGCTTTAAGGTTTACCTTATTTGCATATTTCTGCTGTTATTGGTTCGGTATCTTTAAATTCATTTAAATGTATTATGAAATAATTTTTTCAATGTTTTCTTTTTGTTTTCAAACATTCAAACATAAAACATTTAAATTGATTAAAACAACTTTCTAAAAGATTATCTCAAATTTCTAATTTATATTGTATTACTAAAACTCAAACCATGAATGAGAATTAAGGAAAACCTACATAGAGCTAGAATTTATAATACTGTATTTTCTTAATTCTAAAACTCCAGCAATTCAAGATGCATCATGAGTTTGACATTTTCATAGCATATTTTTCATTCATTTTAACATTAATTTATAATTATGATACTTACTTTGTCACTTTAAAAATTCGAAGCAGACGAACACATCTCAAAACAGAAACTCCTAAAGGAGGCATTATATCTGTATATGTAAGGACAGATTCCAAAATGGAACTTATCACCACAAAGCAATCAAATCGATTGAATAAAGAAACAAAATAACCTTGGAAGCCCAGGCTATATAGTTTCAGGATCATTTCTAATGCAAATAATATTACAAAAAACATGTTTGCAACTTCTGAAAGCAAAAAATAAAAAATTATTAAAATGAATAGAAAGAATTTAATTAAATGAGCAGAAAATGATTAATAAACTATAATAAAAGANTATAAATCTGATAATTAGAAAATTTGATTAATGAGAAAAACATTATATATTTTTTAAATGCTATCTAATTTTATTAATAAAAAGTTTAATTGTAAACTGCTATTGAAACAAACTTTGATGTACAGCACATAAAAAGGCATAATACTAGAAAATGGTATTAAGATTACATATTATAACTTTCTTATGTCACAAATCTAGTCATTTATGAGAGTATGAATTAGCATAACAACAGAGAATTTTCATATTATTGCAGTTTATCAATTGAAGTACTGTACATGTATGTATGATAATATTCTAAAATGAAGTTAACATAACATTACTATTGATCCTTGTAAGAGATTATCTATAATGATTCAATTAATTATTTTCTTTTATTATAAATGATTAAAATATGTGAAATGTTGTACTAGATAATAACAATAAAATGTCATTTATTTACTATTTAACTCTTCCAATATGAAATACTGTCATGTAATATCTATATTGTATTTTTAAACCCTTATTATGAATAATCATCACATTTTGGATTAATTCAGCCTTAAATTGACAAATATTTAAAAATGAAACCAATAAATATAACAATATTGTTAATTTAATATAGCATATTTTTTTGAAAATATAAATATGTTTAAAATACCTTTTTAAAGCTTCTAAAATTGCATCATCATCCTGTAAGTCTAGATCAGTTCCTAATTCTAGGGTTCTAGGAGGTTGAATAGCTTTTGGTGTCCCATTTGCTACGAAAGGATAATTTCCTTAAAAAATAAGATTATTTTCTAAAAATTATTTTAGAGTATATACCAGATATAACTTCAAGTTCCTTAGTAGCACACTCGGCGGCAATCATTCCCATGGAAGCGGATTTCCGAGCCACTGCGTGAACCATGTCGGAACCAGATTTGGGCCAAGCGAATTGCGATCTGTATTCGGATTTCGGATTGGTTGGTTTTGTATCAGATTTTTCAGGATTTTGTGATTGTGTTGGAGGCAAATTCTACATTATTAAAAAATTTTGATTTAATTAACAATGAATTTGTAAAATTTTGTAAATTTAAAAAATTTAAAAATATGCACATAGGCCTACATCAATTTTACTTAATAAATTATATAAATATTTTTCCTTCTTTTTAATTCTATTTAAAGATTTTAAAAGACAGAATTTAAATTTTTAAAACATTTATTAAATGTTTTATGAATTGCAAAATTTTATGGCTAAAATTTTTACATCAAGAAAAGATTAAACATGCAACAAAATTGAAGTTTACATTGTAAATTAAATACAGTTTTAAATTTAAACAAATGAAAGACATTTCTGAGGAAAATAAATTTGATGTAAATTTCAGAAAGTCTTTAAGAACTGTAGTTATACAAAATTACAGATTATTACAGAATTTATTTGATGGAATCAAAACATATTGTAAGGATATTTAACAAATTAATATATTTGCAAGCATTTATCTCATTCTGAATAAAATAGTAATATATAATTTTAACCATTCATTTGATTGTAACAATTAGTTTATAATATGGCTTTGCAAGAGGTTGTTTATTTTATAGCAATTGAATCAACTTTCTTATTTGTATTTCATTTAAAACGTAAATTTTTCACTTTTCTGAAACAGAATAGCAATTTATGTCCATTTTAAAATTTTGTCAATAACAACTTTAACAAAAAATATATTTTAAAATATTGCATAATCTTCTATGAGTGAAATTAAAATGTGATATAGTGATATTTAACTAATATGTTATTTATTTTAAATATCATTGATAAATTTTAAACTCAATCTCTTTTTTTTTCTTTTTTCATTTAAAAAAATAATCTGTAGTTGAAACTGATATAAGATATAATTTTATATCTTAGATATAATTTTTATAGTAGATATACTTTAAAAAGTTTTGTTTATTGCTTTCTTATAAATTTTTCGATTTTTTTTATCAAGAATATTTAATCTAAAACAGTGGCGTGCCGTCATTGGAAGCAGTGGATGCACCGTTCCCTTGTATTTTCTAAAAAATAAATACATATTAATTTTAATTATATGAAAATAATCGCGCAATATTTTATTATAACCGCATTATGTATCTTATTACAAATTTCTATACTACACGTGGAAAAAAAATTGCTATTGTATATTAGAATATTAGTGGCGGAGTGGAATCTCCTGTATTTTCAGATTACGAAAAGCCAGATTTGCGCATGCGCTTTACAGAGCACCAACCTCGCGGTTTAGCTGGTGGAAGCCTAGGACCTTGGGTGGATGCTACACGTATAACGCATCCAATTCTATCCAGGACCGGTTCTGGGCTGTTAGCCGCCTGCCCGCTAGATATTTGGCCGCCCTCGCCCGATTACGTGAATCACGAGTAGATTTATAACTTAACCCAACCGATAAGAATTTACTGGTATGATTTTACGATAGTTCTGTATAGTTGACAGGAGTTTTAAAAAATCCATTAAAATATTTGATATATTTATTCCGCTCTCCGATTTTATATTACTCACGGATTTCAATGTTAAACCAGTGATATTACGATTTCGTATATCCCATCTTTCAGGGGATGTAGGAAAAAAAACGTGTAGAATTCTTGTACAATGTTAAAAAATTAACTTTTACTTTGACAGCATCATTTACAATTAAATTTAATGAATGAGAGAGATGCACGAGGTACAGAAAAAGCTCTAGAATTTATTTTCCTTATCTTAAAAATTTGTCTTTCCTCTTTTTTCCCGAGATTTTACAAATATTCGAGTACAAAGTAACCGATTTCTACTTAAGAAGTAGTTAAATAATTAAGAGATTAGGGAATTAGGGACATAAATAAAACCCTGCTGTAAGAGCTGGAATATTATTTAAAAGCATAACCGACCCAATCTCTAGCCGAGTACAGCGGGGACTGATTTCTTCGTAATACTGTATTAGACGTAATAAAGACAGAAATTTTTCCAGTTCAACGAGAGTGACCGAAAAGTTGTAAATTTTGGAAATTTCCGTGGACAACACCAGGTCCTAAAACGAATTAGTTAGAAAACAAACGACGGACAATCTATTAAGTTTAACATATTTAGACTTGCAGCTATGGTGAGAAACGTTTAAAATTTACAAGAACCCTGTCGCGTCTTTTGAGGTATATTAGTGGTGCGACAAAAGAGGCATTTGAAATTGACCGGTATCGGCACCCTCAGGATTTAGCAGCCCGCGTGCATGTATACACCTAGCAGGACCGTCTCTGATTCCACTCGTAGGGAGCTATTTGACTAAGTGGTTAAGATTTAAAAAGTAAAGAATATTTTATGTTATTTTTATGTACTTGTATGTTTCTTTACAAAGCTATATTTAATTATAATTTTCTATATAATTTTATATTCATACAGTTGAAAAATATTTTGTACCAGGTATGTAAATCCACCACACATTTTATTTCACCAAGTAAGTTTTTATAATTTTATTTCTAGTTTTAGCCCTTATATCGTGGCTAGCGATTCAGAATGTAATTGAGATATTGAAAATTTATTTTAAAAAAGTTTTGGCTCGAGATCGTATAATGAAAAAGAAAACATTATTAAATGAGAAAGGCCAATGCCTAAGTTAAATATAAACACTTCAAAAAAATTTGTTGGACATTTTCACGATAAAATGGCTCTGTAAACGTAAAAATGCAAAAATTGTTTTGTTGGCTTTACCTAAAAACACCTAATACACAGTTTATACCATAATTTAAAAAAATCCCAATTTATTACTTAGAATAGTGTTTCTTATTACTGTCCTAGAATATAGAATATATTCTTGCTGTCCTAGAAATAGCTCTCCTAGAAGTCATTGCACTAACCGATTACCAATCAATTAAAGACTGCTATAAAATAAAAAAGTTAAATCTAACAATTTGTATATTATCATTAGCGACTTTCCACTGATAGTACCTTCTATATCGATCTGTCACAAAATTCGAGAATAATGTCGAAGATTTCATTGAGCAGTTTCAAGAAGTTAATGTGAAACATTCAATAATAAAATACTAAAACAGATAACCGTAAGTGAGCAAAAATAGAATTTGCTAAGAAGTATCATTAATCTATCTGCATTTTTTAAGTCCATGAACTCGTTTTAATTCTGAGTAAGATAATAAGAAAGTGCTTGGAAGGACAATAGTATGAATTCGCTTGGAGCGGTAATCAACTGAGAACCTTTCTGATAAAGACATTCTCTTCTTACAATAGTAAGTGAATAGGCAACTGTACCGGAAAATATCTGCATCTAAAGTGAAAAACAACACTTAAAGAATGGAAGAAGTCAACACACACTTTTGTGCCGATATAGTACTTATGTATAGCTAATGGTAAAATTTTTTATCAAGTCATTGAGCCAAGGGATTTCGATATAGATGTATTTTTAATCCCTACAAAGTAATCAATACGTGTAATTCACCATTAAAAAATGAGTCTATATGCCTACAGAGTTTTTTACAGAGACGATCACTACAGCGAAAGTAATTAAATAGACATATAGTGCGTTAATCTATACTAATATTATAAAGAGGTAAGTAAGTTTGGATGTAGCGGATAATCTCCGAAACTACTCATCCGATTTTAAAAATTCTTTCACCAATATTTAGAATGGAACTTCAGGGTAAACATAGGCTGTATATTATTCCGTTAAACATTCATATACTGTAAATTAAAAGATATAATCTAGGTTAAGGCTTTTATGTCCAACAGATGGCGCTACGAGTACGACGCCCTAAGTTTTGCTTTTCTGTGAGGCATTATGCTTTTCTGTGAAAATAAACTAAAGCAGATCATCATCTATCTATATCTATATATATAAATGGACATGTATGTCCCTATATTTCACTTTTCCGCCAAAACTACACTCGCACGTGAATGGTGTTTGTATGTTATGGTAGCCCCAAGTCTCCATTCGTGCATAGGGGTTGTTGCGTCTCGATAGCTATAAGGGTGCGGGAGATATGAGGCTGAAAGTGGTTGAAAGTGGCTTTCTATTTCGAATGTTTTGTTCGATTTTTTCGAATTTGTTCGAATTAAATTCGAACATAAAATTCGAATATTGGTTCGATTATAGAACGATTGTAAACGTTCCAGAAACGTTGAAAATAGTTCGTTTGACTAAACGTAAAAATTCTCTAATTAGTCTGGAAACGGGGGACCTAATTCTTGCATTTTGTGAAAACGGGTATGATTAGCTATAATGTAATTATCTTAATCTTCACTATCGTTACTTTTTGCCCAGCGAAGCGGGTCCTTGCAGCTAGATTCTAGATTACTTAGAAAAACAGTCTTTTGTATATATATATAAAAAACTATATTACATACAAATAAAAACCCAGCGAAGCGGGTCCTTGCAGCTAGTCTATCTATATAAATAAAAATGTAATGTTCGTTTGTTCCTACCGATTTTTTTTGAAATTTTGACACTACGTTGTACAGTATTCGAATACGCCCGTGTTTTTATATAATATACATGTCGAAATGTCCCCCACTGGGGAGAGATGGTTGGCTTCTATTATACTATTTTAGATGCGGGTTTTTGCGTTTTTGATTGCGTTTTAATAGGGTACGTCAAGAGAATATAAACTAAGAAGAAATTTTTCGAAAAATCCCCCCCACGGGGGAAGTGTTATACATTTATAATAAATACATTTTGAGCCATAACAACGCGTGGCGAGGTCTGCTAGTTTTATTTATATTTTGGCTAGGAAACTGAAAATCTTTCCTATCAATTTTGTAATAAATTCTAATTTATGTATAGAAAATATTTCCATATTGAAACCGAAAGGAGTACGAAAAAAATTTTTCCAATTGTTTCAGAATGGCAGAAAAATATAAAAAATTTTTAAAAAATTGTATAAATACAAAACGACATATTCACAAAGGTAAAAACCTTGCTTCTGTCTATCTTTCCGCCGTTTCTACACCATCAGCAATCCTTAAAAACAATTCACAAGTTTCCGAGACGACCTTCCTTTTTAGGCTACTGTTTCGGCAAAAAATGTAAATATAGGTAAAGCGTCCTCTGGTGTTTATTAGCCATTTTTCACAATATCACATTTTAAGTAAAAATAGTAAAATAAACTATGGCCGGCGTTAATTACATTTTTAAAAAATTGTATAAATACAAAACGACATATTCACAAAGGTAAAAACCTTGCTTCTGTCTATCTTTCCGCCGTTTCAGAAGCACAGAAGCAAGGTTTTTACCTTTGTAAATATGTCGTTTTGTATTTATACATTTTTTTAAAAATGTAATTAACGCCGGCCATAGTTTATTTTACTATTTAAATAAAAATAATTCTTTCAAAATTGCCTCTCATATAAAAATGTGATTTTCTTTACTATGGAATTTCATCATATATAAAGCGTGACAGATAGAAACGTTAGAATTTATATATTTTAAAGGTTATATTTATGAATTTTATCTTTCTTTTCTTCGGGGTTTTTTCGGCTTATTTCGAAAAATCAATTAATAAATAATCAAAGAAAATTAATAAATAATAAGTGTTGAAGTTTCTGAGAATTATTAATTACAAAATTCATTTTAAAAATTTCTGAACTGACAATAATATAGATGCTTCCCGCGTGCACTTACAGTACAGTACCACAGGAACGTAATTTTTAAAAAAGATTTGTGATCTTTAAAAAATTTTTAAATTTTTAAATTTTTTAAAAAAGAGGTGTGATCTTTATTAAATTAAAAACAAAAGAAGCTAAGAACCGTCTCAAAAGAAAAGTAAACGACATTTTTGTAGTGTGGAGACATAGTTTTCCGATTAAAGGTCGTGTCTCAAACTTTTTTTCTACATTTCTATGATGCATACAGTAATAAGACATATATTATTCAGTCAATGATCAGTCTTACAGTTCAAAAATATTTTATTAGACTAATATAATTAATCCGGCAACTGAACACTACAGTTTTATCTGAATCTAACACGTTGTTAGATTTAATAGATTGTTTTAATAATTTAAAAAATTTACACTCAGTAAAATAATAATTAGATTTTATCGAAATAATGAAAAATAAATTGTTGGAGAATAAATTATTACGCTAGTAAAAGACAAAAATACTTGGTGAGTAATAAATTAATCCGACAAAATTACTAATATTTCGTTCGATTAAGCATTCAATTAAGGTCTTATAATAATTTTTATTAAGATTTAAGTACAAGTATGATATTATTCCTTTAAAGGTCGATGAAATAGTTAAATATCGCGTGATCGATCGATTAAATTTTAAAAGTAGCTATAGATTCTTGACCCGCAATTCGATCGATAATTTCAAAGAATTACGATTCAAAAGTCACTGTTCTCAAATTGCATATTTTAAATTCGACTTGCATTCTTCAGTTTCTATTAGTAAATATGATATTGATTTATATCTTTTTTCAGATAAACTTCGAAGAAGAGAAACTAAATAAAGATGCAACCTACAAAAGCGCAATGCACATATAACGTAAGCGAAAATACTTACGATTTATTTACTCCCTCAATAATAGCGTGTTTATTAATCGCAGGTTTCTTTGTAAAATATTTGGCGAGACAAGAGAAATTTTCGGATGCGGCTGTTTTGATGTTAATGGGAGTACTTATTAGATTCTCGTTAGAACTGAACGTTAAATTTGCAACAATAAAGAACGTAATCAGCAAGCAAGTGCTACACAGTTCTAATGAAATAATCCAGATAACTTTTCCTTTAATGCTGTTTATTACCGGATACACCTTGGATAATCAAATATTTACGGATGTTATTTATCAATGTTTAATATTATCCATATTGGGATATCCTATTTCAATCATCCTCACTTCTATATGCATGTTATATATATTTCCCAGTTACGAGTGGGAATGGCAACTTACACTTATATTTGGGGTACTAGCGCAGATATCCGATCTGTTTGGTTCCATCGACATGTTTAAAGCGAATAACAGAGACACAAAACATGTATCGACTTTGATTCAAGGCGAATCTTTAATAATTAACGCATTAGCAATGATGATAATGGAAGTATTTCTGCCTTTACTAAAACTTCATTGTAGCTTGCTAAGGTCGATACTGACTTTCTGCTCGAAAGCCATATTTTCTTCGTTGATAGGATTTCTGGCGGGTACTGCTGTGAAATTATCTTCACATTATCCGTATCAGAACAAAATCGCAGTAATTACTTTTCTGTTTGCCTCCTGTTACTTTATTTTCTCCTTATCGACCTTACTGCACGCATCTGGTGGATTAGCAGTAGTGGTGATGGTCATCATGGTAAACAATGAAAAATACAGTTTTCCTCCTGAAGTGGAAAGAGTAGTACAGAAGTTTTGGGAAATGGGCAAGCTTATATTTGAGATATTACTCTCTATATTAATAGGTGTAATAACTGCTGAATCCCTGTTGCATATTTACGACCTTGGTTCACCTTCTGTAGAGGATTATTTGCGATTTTTTATTACTTTCGTGGCTACTCTTGTCATAAAGATATTCACTGTTGTTATACTTTTTCCTATTCTGTGCAGAAGTGGATACGGTTTTGATTGGAAGAAAGGTTTAATAATTTCCATTGGATCTATGAAAGGATGCGTAACGCTTTTATTAGGTAAAATATCTCGAACTTTCTTCATCAATGATCAGTCAGCCAATGTTTTATTTTTACATCTCCGAGTTCTGACGACGTTTACAATATTAATAAACACAGCATGTCTAAGATATTTGATTAGAGTTACTGGTATTAATTCAGTATCTTCTGCTAGAAAGACTGTTATGGCTAACGCAATACGTTACTTGAACAAGACGATGGAAAATTCTTTTCACGCTCAACAACTTGATCCATTTTTATCGAATGCAAACTGGAAATGGGTAAAGATTCATACACACATCGAAGATCCTTATAAAGAATATGAATTGGAACCAGGAGACATTCCATTTTATCAATCGAGATATATAAAATGCACGAATTGTTTTGCAGAACATGTGTTACCAGCCACCGACTACCAACTTGCACAAATGAGAAAAGAATCCAGTATAAGAGCCTTAAAAGCTGCTCAGACTATATACTGGTATCAATTTCATAATGGAATTATAAGTAAAGATGCAGCTAAGCGATTGAGTATCACTATTGAATGGGCCATTCAGACAAAGCAAGATTATTTAGATGTTTCTGAAGTTAAAAAACACATGGTCATTAATAAATATACAAGAAAGACCTACGATATTGTAATAAAAATGTTGGATATAGTTAATGCTTTCGTTAATAAGGAACGACGAGAGTTGGAGAAAAAGAACAAAGAAGAGTTTAATCAATCGAGAATAATATATTCCCATCATTTTATAGAAAATTTAATATATTCTCCACAATTAGAATTTATGATCCATATCCTACTTTTCGTTTCGTTGCTTATTAATATTCTTGAACTGATTTCTGTTTTTCACTTGGATAAGAATTCGGCACATCGTGTCTTAGTATTATCTTCTCTTTTCTTTTGTTTTTTAAGTATAGAAAGCATCATTTTCTTTTTCGATATTCTCTTTCGAATGTTTTTATTCGGATTTAAAGACTATTTCGGAAATCCCATCAACGTAGTCTCTTTCGTAGCGGAATTTGTAGATTTTCTGATTATTTTATTATATTACACTGGACGAAGCATCGTTTTTAAATTCAGCACTGCTTACACATTTTACAAAATTCTGCTTCACCTTCATTTATTAATTTTCCTTCGACTCGTTTTTCTCATTAAACCAGCTTTGATAATGATTAAAAACTATCTGAATACAAAAATTAAGAAGAATCTTTATCAGTGTTTCGAAATCGCCTATTGTTTTATCGTTGGAGAAGAAGAAATACGAAATAAAACGGATATGATTATAAATTACGAAGAACTGTCTATTTGGCTTAAAGAAAAGGTCGAGAAAAATAGACTTTTCATGATCAGAGAGATGACACAAATGCAGCGTACATATCCAGAAGTTGTAATTGGAGCTACGAGCAGGCTGGCAGCTCGAATTATCTTCAGAAAAACCATAGATCATTTAATAAATTTAGAGAAGAATGGGTTGATAGAAAAGAACATATTTTATAAATTAAAACGTAACTATGAGAATAAGATGAAGAACTTTACTCGTTTGCCAACAGGAATTTCAGTCAAACGTAAGATTGAAGACATTCTAAAAAACACCGAATGGATAATGGGCCAGAAACAGTACAAGTATTTTATTAGCATTTCTACTAGAAAAACTTACGAACAAGGTGATATAATTCATTCCAGGGAGAATTTTTGCACTGGCATTCACATAATTTTATCAGGAGTTGTCAAAGTGGAAGGCATTGCACAATATCAACGGACTAATTTATTACCAAATACAGATTCTATGAAATATTTCGATAGCGGTGGCTATTTTGAAGATTATTTATTCACTGGACAGACATTAGGTTTGATAGGAATTTTAAATCAAAAAGAATTTGTCACGGATAGTGTTTGCGAGACTGAGGTAACGACAATATTTATCAACGAAGCTCAAATGAAAGAGGCAATGAACCAGTTTCATAACTTAGAGTATCATCTTTGGAGAGTGGTAGCAATAGGAATAGCAATGTATATTTTGAAATATCATCGCCGTTATCAATCGTTTTCAGATGGAATGCTGAAGGATATTCTTCGTAAAGCTTTATTACCAAATCTCTTTAATCGTCGTTCTTTCAGAATTACAAAAGAAATTCGTGATATCGTGTTAATTCAAGGAAAAATAATTGATGAAGATACTAAAAATGAATATCTTGGACCAATCTACATTGCAGAACACGCTACTAATTTGCTATTTCCATCAAATATTAGTTATAAAGTTCGTCCTATCGTGTTGATCTTGGCTTCAGAAGACTATAAGCTTCCTGACATGTATCAGTGGTCGATTAGACATAATAGTTTCTATGATATTTTATGCCCAATACATAAATCCAGATATAAAAAATCTGGCAAGAAATTTTCGAGTAAATCGAATCAAAAGAAACTATTAAATGACTAAATTATAATTACTTATATAAACTATAAAAATTAAAAAGTAATTAAATATTATTGATAATTAATTATTTAAACATTTATCAAATGATATTAATTGTAATAATTACACCAAAATCTGTTAGACAATAAAAACTTAAAAATATTTTAACTTCAATTTTGTTTTTTTTTCTCTCCATTATAGTTTTAAAAATACTTTACTTACTTTATTTAATTATAAGAGATATATATTCAAATCAAACTAAATAATTTGTTTTTAATAAACAGAAATTATAGATAACCCATGTGCATTCTCATGTATATCAGTTATGTTATAAAATTATTATAATTAACAAAATTTGAGAAACAATACATCCAAATTTTGATAAACTTTACGCGTCATCTTCGTTCATGTTCACGACAACAGTGATCATGTCCAATGATCAACATAGACAAAAAGATTTTCAGGTAAAATAAATTTGATCCTAATGGTAAATGAAAAGATCCTCAAAAAGTAAAAAGTTACGGTTAGATTACGGATCCTACAATAGAATCCTACTTACGGATTTACCATAAATCCATAAGTCAATAGGACCGGGTCCATAAATACATAAATCAATAGAATTGGGTCCATAAATCCATAGATAAAGAGGATGATCCTTATCTATGGATTTATGGGCCCGATTGTATTGAAGTTCAGGTTCGTAAATCCATCGAGAACAGCCATATAACATGTCTTGTGATAGTATTTCGCTTAAAATTCAATTTTGGATTGAATTTGTTTAAAACATGTCATTAAAAAATATATTGAAGTTTAAATGTGAAGTAAATCTATTTGAAATTAAGTTTACGCGAATATAATTAAAATTATTATAATCTAAAATCTCAAGATATTTGAAATTTCTTAAATTTTAAAATAAAACTAGACCAATATTTTATTTCTTTTATCGTTGTTTTTTTAAAATAAAATAAAAATAAAGAATTTAAATGATATTCAAGAATTTTTGAGCCAAGACATTTTCGGAAACCAAAATATCCCATCATCTTAGCCATATGTGAAGAAATCTTTTAAGTATGATAGTAGGTGTTTTGAATAATTATACAAGTATGGCTAAGACGAAGACAAAGGACAATTTTTTTAATGAAAATTTAGTGTTATAACAACACATTAAATCAAACCCAGAAAAAAAAGGAGCCTTCAAAGGGGAACTGGGTTTTAGTCAACAGCTATTTTTATCCATCGAAAAGTGTGCAGAATTATATGAATGAATATTGCAAAAATAGTGAAAAAGTGTGGAAGAAAAGAAGAACAAAACATTAAACATTTATAAAAATGCAGCGTTTAAACAAAAGCCTTGGGAATGCTTACGTGTTTTTGTCTTTTTCTACCTATATTTGGGTCAGCGGAACGACTTCTGAGAGTGGGTCGGGATTTTGTCCTTTCTTCAGACTGAAATAACATTTATTATTATTATCAGTCGGTCATTTTTTTAGATTTTTTTATGATGATTCGATTAATGTGTTGTTATGGCAAAGAATGGGCCACAGACGATATTTTTTTATATACATACCCTAGCTCGGAGTTCTTGGTCTCCTTTGGAATCGTCCGACGTCATCGTGTCCAAAGAATCTGAAGAATCTCCTTCCTCGCAGTCGAAGTGAAAAAATTCATGAGCTTTATAGGCAAGCTCTGGATTTTTCTTCTTTCGTGGCAATGCTGGCTCCAACGTAGTAGATGCTGAAGAATAGGAAAAAAATATTAAAAAATTAAATTAAATTTCGATGGCTATGACTTTTCGTTACAAAAAACCCCACGAGAAAACTCAAATTAATCACAGAAAATTTAGATTTATCGTTGTTAATAATACAATAATCTATATCTAAAATGTATGGGAAAATACTTAAAATTATATATTTTTAAATATTTAATAACAATTTTTAAGTATCGTTTTCCTTTTATGTTATCGAAATCATTTTTGGTTGATTTTTGCTTTAAGATGCTTGTAAAAGGCCAACCTGGCCACAGTGTCTTTTTGAGAAATAAAAAAAAATTAATATCAAGCGTTGAATTGCATAAAATATGATCTTAAGAAAAACATTTTTCTCGATTTACACTTGGTTAGCGTGAAATAAATCAAGATAAAGTGATGTAAATTTATTATTGTACGTTCTCGAGTAGACAGCATCCAACATTATACATAAATTATGATAGAAAGACAGCTTTTGATGATGTTTATGATTAGTAGCTGGCGTTTGAACAACATATGAAAGATTCAGACATATGATTGAATATAACGCATCAACGTACAGAAATATTTATATTTTTTTCATATTTTAAGACGTTTATATCGAAGAGATTTCTCCAAGATAGATTATTTTAATGTTGCTGCAACGACGTTGAAAGGAATTCTATCTTGATAAACTGTCTACTGAGATGTAGAAAGTAATCAAATTTATAAAATAAGATATAGCGAAAAAATGAATTTTCGAGTTGAAAAAGAACGATTTTGGCAATATCGATCGGATTTAATGCGTAAGATATACTTTTAGAGTTTGATAAATTCCGATTTATTTTTTTATTTATTTATTGCGATATTTTATCTAAATCCTTGGAAATGGAATATTTAGAAATGAAATGATAGCTTACTGCGTCCATATAAGAATTTATAAGATTTAAAAGGATTAATGTGAAAATTCTTATAATTTTATTTGAATTAAAGATAAATTCTATAATAAAGAATGATAAAGGGTCCTTCATGATAATCTTATCATTCTTTCTACAAGAGAGGTACAAAAGTTCTTCCCTCTCGTACAAGGAATGATAATTTATATTAAACTTGGACAAAAAAAATTAAAATAAAAAAATCTTAATTACTTATTATGAAATCGTCGCAACGCCGAGCTACAATTTTTAATTAGGCTATATTTTAATTTAAAAATTAATTAGAGTCTCCGGCTCGAACTTTCCGTATCCTGTCTCGATTTTCATCTAACTCCATTCTTGAGAAACTTTTGAAAACACGTAACGTCCGGCGCAGACCGGAACTATATACAAACTTCCGGTCTGCACAGGAAGTTTGTATATAGTTAATCATCAGGGGTCTCCTACCCCTAAGTTTTCCATATCTGGTCTCGATTTTCATCTAACTCCGTTCTCGATATTAACAAAGGACGTACAGACAACAACAATGGGAATTAACAGGTCTGCAATTTTCAAATTGCAGTCCAATAAATAATATTCATTAAATATTAAATTTTGCATAGAACAAAAACATGTAAATTACAAAAGCCAATTAATTAGCAAATAATCATTAATTAACATTGTCCATACGTATTCATTAAAACGATTTATTATCTTTATTAACCGTAACAAAATAATGGAAATTTGTTATATGTAAATACTAAATGAAGTGTTAAACTAGCAAATAGTCACATGACAATCCAATGAAGTAAAATCGATAGGAGCAACGCAGAACACGAAAACGATTTTCGACTGCTGGGCTACAGAAAGGAGTCAGTGACCTATTACTCTTAGTTCATTACAAAAGAATTGTGATTTATTTTTCTTACAAAAATTTCCAAATATTTCATGCTGCTTACATTGTACTGAATGTCATGATTTATATTTTGTAAGTATATATTCTGATAGTGACAGATGCAGATAGTATTCAAGTAGTCACTTTATTCGATCAACTGTAAATAAGGCGATGGTTTACAAATTGAAATTCTTGTGCAGAGGTAATGGAATATTAAACTATTACAGAATAGAAAATTCCGGAAATTTATTGATGTATGTCGGTTACGTTTGTAAGTAACGTTTTCCAGAAATATATAAATTTTGTATCTTACAAATCATAAGAATATGGAACAATTTTATATCTGATATTCGAAATTAAATATTATTCGATACTTTGATATATTAAATAAACTACATAAAATATGAATTTTTTTATTTTTTAAAAATGTAGGCCTATATTTTTAAATAATTACACGTTTTTGAAAGTTACTACTTATTAGAATTCTGATTTATGCTTTCTATTTTAAGAAATTTGGCTTCATTAATACTATTTCCTATTAAAAGTTTCATCATTTCCATTCCTGGGCGTTACAAATCAGTTCATTTCATTCGTTCTTTGAAAATAATTTAAAAGAGAATTATATTGAAATATCTTATTTGATGAGGATCACTGACATCCTTTTCTCTCATTATCTACCAAATTATATTTTTATCCTAAGAAATTTTATGTAGAATTGGATATAAACTACCATCATCATGAAAAACATATTCGAAATTATTTGATTTTTTTAAAATTTATATCCTATCATCCTTATTTAATACCAGTAGTAAAACCATAGAGGGACCTAGGAGGCCCGAATCCCCTTAACTTGGTAAATAAATAATAATAAAAATCAAGCAAATAGACCTGTAGGAAAAAGATTCGAACGTGATAAACATCTTGAAATCAGGGGCACAACAAGGCTCTTTGTCACCTGGGGCTAATTAAGATCCCTGCGCCCCTTCTCTTATTCCTGAGGTATGGGACATTGATGACACGTAATGAGTCAGATCTCTTTCCCCTTATACACGCTCTTCTCGGCGCCCGAGGCCACGCTCAGCCTACTCCTTAGTTGCACCACTGCTTATACACACGTATAGTACATATAATGGACGCGTTTCCTTGTCAAGCAGCTAAGTAAGCAAGCCAATGACGTAATTCGTTTCATATATAACGATCTATGTCATTGGTTTGCTTACTTAGCTGTTTGACAAGGAAAACGCGCCCAATATCTGAGAGTTTACTCTTCATCCACAGTGCTAGTGGCTACATCCACAATAATACAGGAGTGAATAAAAGTTCGCACATTCAGATTCGAGTCGACATGGCGCACGATATCGGTTCCAATTACGCTACTGTTCAACGGAAAAAATGACGAACTGTTCTACAGTAATTATCCGTTAACTTCAAATAAGAAAGACATAAAAAATTTCATCTAAAACCAGAAAATCTTCAGTATTTAATGATTTAGGAAAATAATTTACGAAAAGCCGTATCCTAATTGAAAATATACAAATAGTAACATTAAATACTAAAATGAGTTTTACTCCTCAGATTTGTTATATTTTATATATTTTATAACAAAGAGAATTTGTCACGTTCTGCTTGCTATCACTAAAAGCCGCAGTCACGCGATCCACTGTCATGCTTCGTATCACCAAATATAACAATCAGTTAGAATGAATCCAAAGATCTCGTCCGTTAGAGAGAATAAATTCGTTATATCGCATACTCGATTCCCGAATTTGCACATCCATACGGAAATTTGTGACTAAAACGTGAAAATGGCAAATTTCGTTTCTCATCGCATGCAATCGTTTCTATTAAGCACGCAATTTCATCGTTCATGAATGTAATCATTATTTTCAAAGCCTTATCACCTGAATTATTAATAAACATTTTGGTGGACAATATTCACTCACTGTATCAGAAATTACTTCAGTATACAATGCTTTTTTAACCGATTTCATTTTATTTTTTTAGTTTGTGGCACATTTTCTCAGAAATTTATAACTGTGAATAAATTTTCTAGCATATTTCTTCTCCAATACATGTTAATGAACTTGAATCAAATGCAGTAATTATCATGAATTTGATGGTTAACCTGATAAGAATTATACTTAATCAATCATGTAATATTATATATAATCTTTCAAATTTGTCATTGATAAATGAACTATTTTAAAACTAATTGTTTTTTGTTAAAATTAATTAAAATTTTTCAATTAAACTCATCCAATATTAAGATATAAGCTAAAAAATATAGTAATAACGCATATATAAATGTAGGAAAATAATGAAATATTCAGAATTCTAATAAAAATTTAAATTGTTTACTTACAACTTTTATATTATAAATTTATTGTTATTTGACTAGTTATTAATATCATAATAATTGTAGTTATAATTAAATTTTAAGGATAATTATTACATAATTACAAGCTGAATATCCTTTAAAGGCAATCGATACCTTTAAATTGTCTTGTAAAACTTTAATTTAATGCATAATTAATTTAAATTAATTATAGAATTTTAAATAATTGTTTATTATTATTAAATAAATTATAAAAAGATATCGATAATACAATTACGATTCTTGTACTGTAGAAGTACATGAATGTTCGTATTTATTTAAAAAAAATTAAAAACTGAGTTTCATCCAACTTTAAACTTTTAACTTTAAAGAAAAGAAAAACTAATTTTTCAAAATATTTGAAGATTTAAAATTAGTATTTATTGAAATATTAAATATTCTTAATGTAATCGTGATGCAATGTCTTCAGTAGTTAGATACACCAAGATCTATAAGAATGGGGATCAAGAAAAATCGATAAGAACCATGTTTGCACGCCACAATTACAATACTAAATTTCATCCCATCACTACAAGGATAAATGATATAATTAAAATAGTTTCAGAACCTAAATGTTAGAAAATGTCAACACTCTTTTAAAAGAATGTAATTTAATTTGCACTTTATTTACTATAATATTGCTTTTAATAACTATTTTTATAACAATGTGTTTTAAAATAAAGCAAGATATTTTTAAAGTAAGAATAATTTCAAATTATTATGCTAATAAACCAAGATAGATGCATAAATTGTAGGATCATCTGTAATTTTGAATGATCTAGAAGCACATATCAAAATCTAATAAATATTCATGTACTGATTATTAAA